AGGTCACACTCCATCACTGAGGGAAGCCAGGGCAGGAACTGAAGCAGTGGCTATGGAGGAATGCTGCTGGCTGGCTTGCTCTCGTAGCTTACTCAGTTGCTACTGGACCCTCCCACCTCAATCACTAATCAAGGCACTATCTTATAGACTTGCCTACATGGCAATCTCATAGAGGCATTCTTTCAATTAAGAGCCCCTCTTTCTAGATACGTCTAGGTTTATGTCAAATTGACAACCAAGTAAGCCCAAAGATAGGGGTCTCTGTGCTGCTCACTCAGAAGGAGACAAAGCATGGCTTTTTCACAAGTCCATAGTGGGTAAGCAAAGCTCGGGGAGCCCAGGGTTGAGCATGCTCCTTGTTCAGAGATAGAGAAGTTCTCACTTTTGCTCTCCCTTCCTCCATACTCCTCACAGCTCCATCCTCCCCATCTTCCCCACCATCCCCCACCACACATGCACTGGCAGAGTGAGGAAATAGACTTGGATACCACTTGACCCCTTGGGATTATCCCAATATGATGGGATTTCCTCTGTTGCAGGAGGTGCTCTGCCAGTAGATAGTGATGCCTAGGCCACTTGGGTCACTTTTGGGAGAGACCTCAAAGCCTCTCCTCCAAGGCCATCTGAAGTGTCTTCCTTCTGACTTAGATTGAAATAGGTCAGGGTGTCTTCTGGCAGAAGGACACTCTACTGAAGGAAGCTAACATGCATGGTGGGTGTCTTAGCTACCATTCTATTGCTGTGAAAAGAAACCATGACCAAGGTAATTTTTATAATTAGTTCATGTTCATCATACCAGGAATAAGACAGGCATAGTGCTGGAATAGTACTGAGAGCTTTACATCCTAATCCAAAGGCAGCAGGTGAAAAGAGACTGGGGGCTTGGCATTAGCTTTTGAAACCTCAAAATCCATGCTCAGTGACACACCTCCTCCAAAAAAGCCACATTTCCTAGTTCTTCCCAAATAGTTCTCCTAACTGGGGAACCATGCATCCACACATATGAGCCTATTCTTATTCAAACAACCACAGTGGCTAAGCCAGGGAAGCCACCCTCACTAGCCACCAAGGTAGCCTCTTCCATTGTGATAGGTCAAAATGACTTCTCTGTACACACAAAGAGGTTTGCATCTCAGTGACAGACAATGCAATCAAAATATTTTGGGTAAATCTGTGGTGCAGAGTCCATGAGCAGGTGAAATCTCACCCTTATGAGAGTATCATTGGCCCAATGCAGTCTCAAATTGTCCCCAGTCATGGAGAGGCTTAGTGATCTGAACCAAAGACCTGTCTTGAGGGTCTAGGATATCCAATGTTCTACCTGTAACCCCAAATCCCTGAATTTTGCCCCTAAACAAATCTGGCCAAATCTGCTTCAAAGCAGCCCCCTTTTCAGACAGCTCTTCTTTATCATCACTTTTGTCCACTCTGAATTATTTCTTGAGACAAGATAGAGTTCATAGACAGAGGCTTGTGTCTAGAATATTCAGGGTCCTAAGTTCAATCCACAACACCAAAAAGAGCCAGGTGGTAGTGGTGAATGCCTTTAATTTCAGCACTCAGAAGGCAAAGGCAGGAAAATCTCTGAGTTCAAGGCCAGTCTGGTCTACAAATTGAATTCCAGGCCAGCCAGGGCAACACAGAAAAACCCTGTCTTGGAAAGCCAAAACTAAACCAAACAAAGAAAAAAAAAATAAAAATAAAAGAAAAAAGAAAAGAAAAAGAAACAGACAACAATAACCAACCTAAACTACTTCCTTATTTTATCATGTTTTTGCATTTTTTCTAATTATGTTTGAATAATATTTGATAGCAGCAATAGGAAAGTAAACTATGTAAATGCACATGAAACTATCTGGTATTAAGATGGCTGCCCTTCAGCTCTCTACCATACTCAAGAGCTAGAGAGCAGCCATTTGTATGCACCCACACTGTCCTCAAGCATCACCTACATAAAGGCATCAAAATCTGAACTCAGTGTGTATCCTTCCTTTATGTTTTTACTCAGGGTTTTAATATACAAATGAATAATACAATTGGAATCACTACTTAGGGTTTTCTGCAGACTGGCTTATTTCAGTCAATATTATGTTTCTAAGGTGCAGCCATGTTTGTTTATTTTTTTTTTTTTTTTTTTACTGTTCTTCGACAATTTCATGAATGTGTATAATATATTTTGGTCATTTTCTTCCCCATTTCCCTGTCTCATTCTCCCCTCCTGCTAAGTTCCTCCTCCCCATCAAGTGTCCTGTCTACATGTTGTGTGGTTTTGTCTTGGACCTCTGGGTCTAATGAGGGTTGCCTGAGTAAGCATTCTCTTTTATAATTCATGTAATCCATTCACTCATCTACAGGTATTTGAGTGAGTGATAGTGATCTGTGTGGCATTCTAAGCATGTTGTAATCATGTCTATACATCTCCCAGTGGTGCCCATACATGAGGTGTTCTCAGGTTACCACACCAATGAATGACATTGCTGGGTCTATAGAAATGCAAATGTTTGATTTCTTGAGATAAAGCCTTTTTGTTTCTCCATATTCTCTCTTAAAATACGTAGCTACCTGTACATCACTCCCCATTATCATTCCTCAGATATTAACATCATGGATTATCCATCCCTGCCCATGCCAGTGGCTTGCAGCATGCCTCCCTGCCATGTGGCTTTTATAGTCAGCTGAACATAAAGAAAAGTAACAAGTATTTAAGCAGAAACATTAGGAGGCACCCCTAGGCTTCTACCTGTATTCCCTTCTCCCCTCTGCTATAGAATACCATGCCGAAAGTAGGAATTATTTTTACCAAGCTGAGTCCTAGTGTGAAAAACAAGGAGCAGAGTCACAGCCAACAAAAATGACAGCATACATGAGCAAGAACTGAATTTTTATCATCATCAGCCATTGAGTTTGGGAGCTATTTGCTACTCAACACAATAAAGCAGCTATATCAAGACATTTAACGGAGATTTATTGAGTATCTTCAACTTGCCAGACATTAAACTTCTTTTAAGAGTGGCCACACTAGACACCAACACTCTGGCCAATCAGCAGATCCCAAAGACCCTGGAGACTTTGTAGTATAAGCCCCAGAGACAAACTTGTCTCTTAGGACCTCATCTGTCAGGAGTGAAACAGTTGATAAAGAAAAAAGGATTTTATTAATTTTGCTAAGTAAAAAGTCCAGAAATGAAGCTTGAAGTAGGGGTGGGTCCAGGAGTTCCTCCTCTGTCTCTTAATTTCTCTCCACCCTCTGACAGCACTGCTTCTATGGAACAAAGTGGCCACCACAGATCAAGCCTTCCACAGGTCTACAGTCTCCAAGTCCTATCAAAATCTTGAGCCTGACTCTCAGAGTCACCGTGAGTCACAGGTACCCTAAACAATCACTGTGCAGAGAGAAAGCATAACCTGGGTGACCTGGTCCTAGGTCATACATCATGATGGAGTCACCTCACACAAACACATTAGGCTGAGCAGAGGGCCCCAGGAACAATCAGCACCCTATCCAGCAGGGGAAGCAGGTGCTGAGCAGACCACAGAACCTCAAATCCCTGACCAATGAACCCCCAGAACTGGCTCTGCCAAACCTCATGCTGACATCAGCCACTGATGGAGTGTTGCCACCATGAAAATGAGCAAACCCAACTTGTAACAGTCTCAGAGAACCAATTGCCACACATTTACCAGCAGAAACATGGTGCAGTTGGATGAAGCTTCAGCATCTACTCATATGACTGTTTCACTCAGACACACCCCTGACTGACTGACTTATGGTGAACTTCATCTTTTGCAACTGCAAAGTGGGAAAACTGGGTTCTTGTCTGCTGAAGTTGTGTTCAAAAGTGTGTTTACAGATGTGTGTATATATACACACCAATGCATGCACATTGAAGTTTAAATTCCTCTCTGCATCAGAAATCATAAGAACAGGCAGCTGCTACAAACTCCAGTTTGGTTTGGTGAGCTGTACCTCCCCTCTCTTGGTCTATTAAATCATTTTTCCCTCCAAAGGTACACATGTTGTGGCATAAGGAGCAAACTGTTGACAGATGGTGGAGAAACTTTACAGGCCCATAATTGAGACTTATTTTCATACATTCGTGCCAGTTTGAAATCTAATTGCCAATAAAACAATACTGTGATACTGCCACATCTAACACCTCTGCCACTCTCCAAAGTTACACTTGAATCCACTAGTAAACCCTAATCTCCCAGAGAAAAAATAGTCCACACTCTCTGTCGGAAAAGCAGCGCTATAAATCCCCACGTACATTGGTTCATTTTCAAATGTGAACCTCCTTTCCCTGGCCCCCAAAGGGCTCTTACTCAGCTAATGTTAGTGCCTGCCTGAGAGCAGTACATATTCTTTGTTTACTTGACAGAAGCACAGATGTGGCTGGGTGAACAGAGAAATGCAGAAGGCTTCTCCAGGCCAACGTATCCATCTCTCATCTCTGGTTGTATTTTGTGGCACTAGTGGGAAGTTGGCCAGACACCCAGCACCACCCACAGATGGAGGGAGGATGTAGGAACCCCAGCCTTCTCTCCTTGCTTCTTTGTTTTCACTCTCTTGATGAAAAGGTTTGAGGGCAGATCGATCCAAATCAATCTGAAGCTGTAAATAAAAAAGCAAGCTTTCAGTGGGATGAGAAAGCTCAGAGCTGCGTTTTTTGTTTTTTTGTTTTTTGTTTTTTTTTTTTTTTTTTTTTTTGGATTTGGATGATGGTTTTTATTTACAACTTTATTGGCAAAAAAAAAAAAAAAAAAAAAAAAAAAAAGGAAGAACTTTAAACAGCTTTAACACAGGGCACTGTGGCTGACCTTGTTAGGTTGAACAAGTCCCATTCTCAGTGTCCACCTTATCGTCCAGATGTACAATACTGAACCTGCATATGCAGTCTCCTTTATCAAGTACAGTGTTCACCTTTCAGGCAGTCTTTAAAACATATAAATACAAAGGAAAGGAAACCACTCATTAAAAACTGCATCAAACGGAAAGTATTTTAAGTATGAATTCGTTGTTCCTGGAAATTACACATGCCCAATGAAAACCAAAAGCTGGAGAAGCAGTTACACTTCCTACCAGAGTGGATAGTACAACAACAATCATCTTCTGTAATGACCACTTTCAATTTATCATCAACTACTCTGAACTTACTATGAGATGTAGTCAAAGTCAGAAGAGAAGACGCAGGGAGAGTACTTTTTTGGAGGACAGTAGCCCTCCAGAATCATCATAGGGAAGTAAACATCCTGTTGATTCTAGGTGGTAGAACAATTAACATCAATTTTAGTTCCGCTGATCATAGTATGCTGACCTAGTTTTCTTCCTTGACTTGTTTGCTGTCATTCCTCTAGATCAAGTGTGTTTAATTCTTCTTCTAGTTCTTCTAGATCTTCCCCAGTGAACAAAAATTTTCATCAACTGGAACGGCATCGATGGACCCATTTTCTTGTGCCCCACTTCCGTTGTCCTCATCCAAATCACTTCTTTCACCATTTTCAGCCAGACCTCCAGAAGCTTCACTTAATTTGTTCTCATCTTTATCTGAAGCATATGTGCTGAATCTTTCAAGACTGGCTACAGTGATACCCGTCTCTTCTACATCTCTTGGGATGTACAGGCTTACATCTATGTCATTTACACCCACAGAATCATCAACCTCATCACCACCTGTTCCCTGAATGTAACGGGTATCATCTGCTTCCTCATCATCATCATTGACCAGCTCAGGACGAAATTCAAACACCTCACGACCACTGATCACCAGTGCTTTTCCTGCTTTGAAGTCAGCTTTCTGTCTCTCCATATCTTGTTCAAGTTTATCAATCTTTTCTTGTCTTTTCCTTTTCTTCCATGCAAGAAAAGATTCTAGAGTGATTTTGGTAACATTTGGACCTAAGGCAGAACGCTCTCTTTCAATTAGATCTTCTAATGAAATCTCATCTTCTTTCTCTTCTTTCGTCTTTCTTCAGCACAAATCCAGGAGGAAGTGCATGGCGATACATGCAATTGTCACCACCTCCAGGACACACCCAAAACCAGCCATACTTGTTATTTTCAATAGCTTCAAGGAAATGTCTGCACACTATTTGAGTTTTTGGGTTTTTCTTTTCCGCCTCACCGTGCTTCTTGTTTACTACTTCTTCCAGCTTTTTCTCATCCCAATTATCCATAGTATCTTTTTCAAGTTCTTCATCTCTTGCGTACACACTTCGTTTTTCACATTTTCTCTCCAAAGTGAGGTCATGAGAGAACTTACATTTATCCCCTTTAGTACACTGTCCTTGTTTGAAGAATGCACACACCACAGACTTGGGATCTGCACCTTTACTTATTTTTTGTGCAGCAACTACAGGTTTGAACAACTCATTTAGTTCTTGTAGCTCTTTCTTCTTGTCATCTTTTTTCAGTTTCTTTTCAGCTTCACTTTGTGCTACCTGACGTGGATTCTGCTGACCAAATTTCACTTGATGAGTAACAGCCTTAATAAACTTCTGTTGCTTTGCTCCTTTCTTATTCTTTAGACCGAAAGTTTTATCCTCGAAGATCTTCTTCTTCTTCTGCTCTGCCTTCTTGCTGCCCCCGGCCTGAGCCTGTTTCTTGGGGGGCATCGCGGAGGCGGGGGCGCCGAGCCGACTGCGGCGCAGATGACTACCGTCGGGCCAGAGCTGCGTTTGTTTATGTGACCTGAAAAATGCCACCTGTCACCTCAAACCACAAGCCTGCTAAAAACTAGTAATGGCTATCCTTCCCCAGGCAGAGTCTTGTCCACATTACAAAGAAAGAGTTATTGAAGGTAGAGCCCAGAGATGCTGTCCCAGAGGCCATATCTGGGACATATCTGCCTATCTCACCTCTGGAAGCATCCTAAGCAGCAGCTTATTATTTTTCCATTTTACAGATAATAAACTGAGGTAAATCTTAAACTAGGCTGGTGGCAGAAAGATTTTAAGAGCCAGAGGTAGAAAACATCTTCAGTTAAGCAATATTTGCCAGACACCACAGGGCCATTAAACACATGATCTCACCAGCTGTGACTACATGCATGATACATGTAAAAGATCAAGCCAGCCAAATCCCAGCAGGGATGGGGGAAAGACTCATGAAGACCCATCCTAGCTGAGAAGCTATTGGCAATTGATGGCTACTGTAGGCAAGACAATTTTCTTCAGATGTGGTCCCTGAGAGGCTTCCTGTGCTCCAAAAGATGGTCCCACACCCATGTACATGCAGACAGCACTAAGTGGACTCTGTGGGTTTTAAAACACAGCACATGAAGTTGGAAAAGAAAAGTGGTAGAGGTTATAGGGGAGGAATTTGAAAGGAGGGCATGAGGGGGTAGACTTGATCAAAATATGTCATATGCATGTGTGAAATCCTTAAACAATTAAAAAAACAGAAAAAAATAACTTAAGAAAATATTTTTCACTAAACACAACTGCCTTCAGTTTCCTTATTGTTGTGATAAAATTCTCTGACAAAAATGGTTTAAGGAAGAGATGATTTATTCTGGCTCACAGCTCAATGGAATAATCCATTATGGTGGGGAAGGAAGTCAAGAAAGCAAGAGTTTCAATTATATAGTAATATCACAGCCACAATCCAGAAGCAGAGAGTGATGAATGCATGCTGCTTCTCAGCTCCCTTTCTCCACTAATACAATAGGATCCCAGCCAGGGGATGGTGATGCCCATAGTGGGCAGGTCTTCTTACCTCACCATGATCACCCACCCCCACAAGCATGCCCAGAGACCCATCTCTCAAGTTGAGAACACTAACTCATCATGTCAACATTTTTTTTTCAGTAGACTGTATTTCATTTGAACCACTGGAAATTGAGTATCTAAACTGAGATGGATGGAAATATAAAGCATACATTGATTTTTAAAACCTTAGAAAAATGGTCACAGTGGGAGCCTGGGTAATGGACACCAAAATATATATACTTGAGAGAAATTAGGTCTGGTGTTCTACAGCACAATGGGGTGACTACAGTTCATAGCCATTTATTATCTAATTTATAAAGATTTAGGAAAGAGAACTTCCAGGTTTTTCAGTTGATGGAAATGGTGTTACATAATATGGCTATGCTAATTACCCTAATTTACTGGTTACATAATGGACATGTATCAAATTACACACTTTATCACATAAATATGTGCAATTATTACATGTTTATTTTAAAATCATACATAGAGAGAAAATAATACCCCTCAAATAAGAATGGGTTTGTATTGACTATGTTAAGTTATCTAAAATATATGCTGGCCACCAGAAAAATTTAAATCACATGTTTATTGTAATACTATGATATGCTGAAGTATGTATTTGTTCTTTGATTTTGTTTCCTAGTATAAAATTGCTAAAATATTTAGAATGTCTAAAGTCTTTGGGGATTGTTAGCCTTATTCCCCAACCTCCACAAAGGGAAAGGGAACTCAAGATTAAGTTGGTTACCAGTGTACAGTGACACAGTCAACTATGCCTGTATAATGAAGCCTCCATAAGAACCCAACAGGACAGATCTCAGACATCTTCCCAATAGGTTACTGGAAGGTGGCAAATGCATGGAACCAATCCACATTTTCCTCCATGCCTGCCCCTGTACAAAATACCTGAAATTGGTCTCGTATAATAGAAAGGAATTTGTTTAACTCACAACAGCTAAAGTCCAAAGAACACCTTCCAGGCCTGTCCCTGACTCCCATAGATGGATGACATCATAGTGTGTTACCAGTATGTTTTTCCCTGCCACTCTGGTCCCACAACTGTGCCAGCCCCCAAATAACACACAGAGACGCTGTATTGGATACAAAGCTCTAGGCCAGTTACTAGTTTCTTATTGGCTGGCTCTGTCTTAAATATTAACCCATTTCCATTAATCTAAATATACCCATGTGATCTTATCTTACCAGAGAGAGGGGCTGGTGTTCTACCCTGTAGATCCTCCATCTTGAATCTCCTCCCTCCTTCCTCTCTCCTCCTTGTCTCCTAATCCCACCTATCTTGCTTTCCTATTGGCCAACAGTGCTTTATTCATTAACCGATAAGAGAAACACATTTACAGAATGACATCTCCCATCATCTCCTCTTTTCTGTCTAAAATAAAAAGGGTTTTAACCTTAGCATAGAAAAATATATCACACAACAGTTGTCAAATAAGAATCACAGTTAACAATATTTAGTCTATTAACAATTTGTAAGATTTAAATATTCCGTCATCTATCCTATCTGTGTGAGTCTAAAGTCTTATATGTAACTTTCTTTAATTTTACTTAACTAAGGAAAACTATAACCATAACTATTTGTCTTCAACTCCATCAAAGACCACAAAAGGATAATATATAAACTCTAGAAATGACAGAGACAATTCACTGCTTGGTCAGTCACCAGAAGTTCTTCTGTAATGTTCCATCTTCAGCCCATAGGCCATAGAGTGTTTAGCAGACTCCTCAATAAAGCAAGAAACTTTAAACTGTCTACTGTATTGGCAGTTTGTCAGTCACTTTTCTCTGTGTCCTGCAGATTGTCTGGAAGACTCTTCCATGAAGCAGGAACTCTGTAACAATGTCCATCTTGTTTCAGCAGTCGTTTTCCTGTGGGTCCTGCATGTCTAGTTTATACAGCATAAAGTCAAGCAGTCCAGACAAGAGTAGTTTCTTGCCCAAATGGCATTGGAAGTAAACTCCATAATTTGTTTCTTCTATGTCCATCTTCCTTTCTGACACAGGTGGTGTTGCCAGGAGCAGTTATTCCTTACTGCTAAGAAAAACCCTAAGCCATTTTAAATGCCATATTCTGTAGGTCTTTGAAAGGTTTGAAGAATGCCTATCCATCTCAAATAAATCTTGAAAACCTAACTTCACTCTAAGTTTTGACTATCATAGGTAACTACCTATAATCTGTACTAATTTATACATTACATTTCTAAATGAGCTATATAAACACAATACCTAAACAAGAGAAGAAATATACATATCACAAAATTGACCTTGAATTTGTATCAATAAATGAAAATCCATTTCAAAGCAAAGTATTTATATCTATACCATAATCCCCTTTTTTACCTTTAAAAAGATTGGTTGTGGTCATTAACCATTTATAACCAACCCCATATAAATGAAAACAAACATTTATAAATGATATTTGGAAGTTTGGATGTCCTTCTTTCCAAACTGCTTCCTGCTGGTAGGGGGCGCTGTCATGGGGATCCTAAGAAGATGCAGAAATCCTGGCTGTAGTGGTCTGCAAAGCTGCCTTGCTCCAGCTGTTTTGAATGTTGGATCACCTGGGATGCTGTTTCAGGGGGCCTTGCTTGATCAAACCATGTTAGTCTGGAAGGAATCCACAGCTTTTCATTTCTGTGGAAACAAAAATGGAAATTCTTTCCCCCAGTAACCTGTCCTTAGACTTAAATTTTGAAGTCAAAGCATTTTTAAAATATGTAAATTGAATTAATCCAACAGCATTTGTTTTAACAGCTGTTGCTATTTCCTCAGCGGTCAAATAATTTAAAGATAACAGATCAGCATATAGTATCCACATTCTTTTTGTGCTTGCCATCTTTAAGTAGCTTTTTTATTATTATTATTACTCTATTTCTTTTATTTTTTGAGACAGGGTTTTTCTGTGTAACATTTATCTGTCTTGGAATTAATTCTGTATACCAGATTTACTTTGAAATCACAGAGATCTGTTTGCCTCTGTCTCCCGAGTGCTGGAATTAAAGACATGTGCCACCACACCCAGCTACTCTCTGTCTTTTTAAAACCATTTTATTCTTTTTCTCTCCCAAGCCTACGTATATTTTAAAACACACTGTAAACCTTTAGAGGTTTTTCTTAATCTGAATCTGTCTGTACTGTAAATCTTTATCTTTTTCTGGCCACGAGTCTTTTATCTAGTAAACAATATTCCTAAAATGAAAGCCACAGCTGTATTAGCCCCAGTGTATCCAAGATGGCGGGGATACATTTACTACCAGAACTGAGAGCTGTGTTCACTGCCTTGGTCTACACTGCTATCTAGCAGCATGCTGCCGGCTTGGAGATATGGTCACTGCCATTGCCAGCTCTCGTACACACCATTCAGTTGTTAGCAGAGCTTTTTAAAAGCCTTGCAGTTTTTGCCACTTATGCTGAGTCAGGAAACCTCCCTTAAAGGAGCCTCACAAGTCTCTGCTTGGCTCTAGCAAAACAGAACACAAACCGAGAAAATTGCTGCTACCAAGAAGTCTTGCTTGTCTTTGTTCTTTTGCTTCTAAAACCCTTTCTTTAGCTTTTGTTAAGTTTTAAGTGGAAGTTCTTATTAACCATTATGTTATGTTTTTCCCTGCCACTTTGGTCCCACAACTGTGCCAGACCCAAATAACACACAGAGACACTGTATTTGATATAAAGCTCTAGGCCAGTTACTAGTTTCTTATTGGCTAGCTTTGTCTTAAATATTAACCATTTCTATTAATCTAAGTATTTCCATGTGGTGTTATCTTAACGGAGAGAGGGACCAGCATCCTACCCAGTAGGTCCTCCATCTTGGAACTTCTCCCTACTACTTCCTCTCTCCTCCTTGTCTCCTAGTCCTGCCTATCTTTCTTTCCTATTGGCCAACAGTGCTTTATTAATTAACCAATATGAGAAACATATTTACAGAATGA